ATAGTATCAGGGCCCCTTTGATTTAGACTTTCCTTTTTCCACTCCTGCTGCTCAGCATGCTGTAAGTCAGATTATTCAGGACTATTCACTTGAGCGGCATAAACTGCCGCATTAATACTGAAAATAGGGGCCAGATATGTATGTATATTTGGGGGAATTCTGCAAGTGCAAAAAATATACAAAATTAATCACTGTGTTAGATAAGTGTTATAGGCTACATTGTAAAGTACGTTTTAGGTACCTACAGTACAGCCTGCTAGACCAGGAACTCCTCTCCATGAACAATTTCGAAGAGTACTGTCCCTTGGATGATATTGAAGTTACAGAATGTAAAAAGGAGACATTTGCTGGTCGTCAGCACATGGTAGGTATTATATGTCAATGTAAGAATTTAGACAAGCGCAAAGAAGATGTCATCCCAATATAATATTAAAACAATAATGTAAAACCTTAATATTATAACATTAACATTATCATATAAGATCATGGAAGTGAAGATTTAGAAGCTTGTTATTGACATGACCTAAATCCATTTCCCTGCAGGTTGAATAGTAAAGCACTGGACTTGCAAGCATTTAGTCATGTTTTAAATCCATTTCCGAAGACTGTTGATGTCTGTTACATTGGTTCCCAGGTAAAGAGCTGGTTATCTTCCATTTCAATCCTCCTGGGTGCCATATCATACAGTTTTCTTCAGTGTAAAATTGTATTAAGTTTTGACATAATGTCAAGAAAAGTGTCGTCGTTAATGATTTGCTAGGCAAAAACTTAAGTTTAAGATTTTTTCACGACCCCAGGGCCTGGTCATGCTCTCACAAGTATGATTGCATTCAGGAAAACTAGGTCATTCTAAGAGGAGAGCGGGGTAGGGGGGAGTATCACATACCCAGGTACTGTTTAACATGTAACAGACTAAAAACATTTTGTAGCCATGTTAGATTTGACTGTTATATTGTAGGTGTTGACCATTGTGTAGCCGTGTGAGATTTGACTGTTATATTGTAGGTGTTGACCATTTTGTAGCCGTGTGAGATTTGACTGTTATATTGTAGGTATTAGACGGAGTGACCCTAGCTAACCTGGACATCACAGAGAACTCGGCCAATGGTACACTGGAGGGCACTCTGCTGGAACAGCTTGATCATTGTAACACACCATTTGGTAGGTAACCATGGTTACAGTAACTGGAGCATGATTAACCATGGTAAGGTTCTGTAGTAGGTAACCATAGTAACAAGCAGTTTATTGAAACCCATGTAAGGCTTGGTAATTATTGTGTCGTGATGCAGTCTTAGTTTGATTTGAAATATCATTTGACTTTTGATAAATTCTTGACCTCTGTCAAAACTAGAACCCAACCAACTTTTGTTTGGTCTGGAGAGTGATGTTTGTAGGTCTCTGAAAACATTTGGTCCTGATGTGGTTGGTCACTCCTGATTCCTGAGACACCCATGTGTTTGAAAGCTTTGAATGTTGTATTGATATAACGTTATAGATATTAGTAATTACTGGTTGTGTTATCAATCATTTATCCCTCTGTTTCATACCTATATGTAAGATAGATAAAAACGGACAGTTGAAGGGAAGTATTTTGATAGTTCAAACTGTTCTGTTTTAAGGAAGAAAGCATCAATATTTGGGAAAATCTTGCAAAACATTTTTGATTTATTGATGAAATTAAATGATTGATGATTTTATTTCCCCTCCAGGCCGCCGCCTGTTCCGACAGTGGCTGTGTGCTCCACTTTGTAACCCGGTCTCCATTAACGATCGTCTGGATGCTGTTGAGGATCTCATTGGCTGTCCAGACCTAGTTGCTACAACAACAGAAATATTAAAAAAATTACCAGACCTTGAGCGATCGTTAAACAGGTGAATAGTAATTAACGTATTGATAAAAGATGTATCAGTCACAGAATCAGACATTTCTTAATGTAAAAAAAATTAGGACTTTTTCACAAGTGTATCCAGGTATTATATTAAACATTATTTTAATAAGATACATCCAACAAATGTCTATTGCCCAAATTGGACCACAATCACCTTATTACTCAAACGCTTTATTTAAATTTTACAGAATCCACAGTCTAGGATCAGCGTCCAAGAGTAAAAACCATCCCGACTCTCGTGCTATTATATATGATGAAGCCAAGTACAGGTAACTACTTGGACAGTTTAGTGTGAACAACTGATTTTAAACAACATCACCTGCATGAAACGTTTGTAATCTAAGTAGCTTCAGTAACCATTGACAATTTATCGTAGCAAAGACCTTGGCTCTTGTGGTCTTTAAGAATTGAACTGCTTTTTATTGGTATTCACAGGCAATATAAATGCCAAATAGACAAAGACAGATTTAATGTAATTTCTACAAGTACTATATGTTGAATCTGCCTTTGTCATTTTGGCATTGATATTGACTATGAATGCCAACAGCAAGCAGTTCAATACCTAATTTTCCTTTTTTTGGAATATGTTAATCAAATAGAATATTACTACAAACATATATTAGCAGTAATCTTGTTTTAGTGCTTTTTGCACTTTAAATTTTGTGCTAAATTATGTATTGTTATTTTTTGCATATTTTGTGGGTGCCC